ATCACACTACCTTGTTTCTTATGACCCGTCCTTCTCTGCTTCTGATTGGCTAGTAGTCCTTACCTGGGAACTGTGCATGTGCAACTCCCAACAAAGATTTTATACAAGTAAGATGCATCACTCTGTAGCTCAAGAGCGGAGCGTACAACACACAGGGTGAAAAGAGGAGCTGCATTAATGTGCAGTATGAGAAAAATATGAAACCATGAATGAAAATTAAACCATGTCAACCTGTTCTGGTACAACCCCTAATTAAGATTAAGATTTGAAAAATGAGCACAATACCACCTCTTTAATGTTATACTCTGCATACATACCATATTCATAGATTGCTGTTCATACTGTACATAGCCTACATCCTTGCGTTTGCACTCTCCATTCTCTAACTCTGTCCACTTCTCTTCTATATCTTTTTTATATTCACATACTGTATAATAATAATACTGTACTCTCGGAAAGGAGCCAAATATCCGGCTACCTTTAAAAAGCTATGATTCCCATCACTAGCAAACTGACTGATTTTAACTTTACCTGAGAACTACAGGCAACAAAAGATGCTGATCCATTCACGCCAAGAGAATTGACCTCCACCTCTGACAACAAGGTTAACAGGTGTTTTTCTGAAGGCATTAGAGGCCTGTGTTCAAATTTCTTTAGTGCATTTGCTCATATCCAGCGTGAAACCAATGTCTATATCTTCTCCAGTTTTCCTGGAAAGTGCTGTCATATTCTTTGCTTTCTGATATGTGCTTTCATGATCATTGCTTTTGTTAACTGCTACATCTTCCTGGTCTTCTTCATCATTGCTGACATGATCAAGTGTTTCTGGCCTTATCAAAATACCTCTGTAACCCTAATTCTTGGTAGGTCATGCATATAGTGGTGGTGGTGGTGGTGATCTTATTTTATTGTTGACTCATCTGCTATTTTCACCATTGCTGGTCATGGCAAACCTTACCAATTATTTCTTGTTATTTCAGGCTAATGTGACCTCATTGGTAGCATTATGCGTACTATATTACTCATAGCTTGACCACCCTCTTAAAAGACAGACTGCTGATTGGTCAGAGAGAATATTCACTATTCACTGCATCATCAACAGACCGCTGCAGCAACAATGGCAGAGGAAAACACAGCTGGAAGGTTTTCATACTGCTTATCTGTTTTTACATTCTGAGGAATCTTGAAATGTTTTAACTTAAAAAAAGAGAAAGCTGTGTGGATTGCTGGTGTGTGTCACATTGAACATTACGTCACAGCAGTTGTGTGTGGCGTCGTCATAGCAACGCTATCATAGCGACGCCACACACAAGGTACGTACTATCTCTGGGTACTATCTGCAATGGAAAACGGAGCAGGGCTGAGTAGAGTCGAGTCTATCAATTTGCGCTATGGTAGCATTTTTCGGCAAGGCAGAACACAGTTCAACGTTTAGTCCTAAAAGACGATGCAACTCCGACTCTGTTTGGCCCTGGAAATTCTCAATCTCAACCTGTAAGTATCCTTGATTGGTTGTGAATTATATTAAAAATAAACACGACAATGTAACGTCTCAGACTGTTCAAGTGCGGAGTTGTTGTAAAGTTGGCTAACACAGCTGAAGTTATAACTATAATGCCAATGTTACACCTGATGTGAAAGCTACTGAGCAAACGTTCAAATTGTTTGGCCAATTTTTATGTAAAAATTGTAGTGGTGTATGGTAAGATGTGGAACAATGATGTTGTGTGGTTGTGGACTTATACGATCTGCTAGGTTACAGTCTCAGTCTGAAGCGGCTTTGATTTGGATCACACTACCTTGTTTCTTATGACCCGTCCTTCTCTGCTTCTGATTGGCTAGTAGTCCTTACCTGGGAACTGTGCATGTGCAACTCCCAACAAAGATTTTGTACAAATAATACAAATCTGTACAAATAATACAAATCTGTAGCTCAAGAGCGGAGCGTACAACACAGGGTGAAAAGAGGAGCTGCAGCAATGTGCAGTATGAGAAAAATATGAAACCATGAATGAAAATTAAACCATGTCAACCTGTTCTGGTACAACCCCTAATTAAGATTAAGATTTGAAAAATGAGCACAATACCACCTCTTTAATGTTATACTCTGCATACATACCATATTCATAGAATGCTGTTCATACTGTACATAGCCTACATCCTTACATTTGCACTCTCCATTCTCTAACTCTGTCCACTTCTCTTCTTTATCTTTTTTATATTCACATACTGTATAATAATAATACTGTACTCTCGGAAAGGAACGGAGCCAAATATCCGGCTACCTTTAAAAAGCTGTGATTCCCATCACTAGCAAACTGACTGATTTTAACTTTACCTGAGAACTACAGGCAACAAAAGATGCTGATCCATTCACGCCAAGAGAATTGACCTCCACCTCTGACAACAAGGTTAACAGGTGTTTTTCTGAAGGCATTAGAGGCCTGTGTTCAAATTTCTTTAGTGCATTTGCTCATATCCAGCGTGAAACCAATGTCTATATCTTCTCCAGTTTTCCTGGAAAGTGCTGTCATATTCTTTGCTTTCTGATATGTGCTTTCATGATCATTGCTTTTGTAACTGCTACATCTTCCTGGTCTTCTTCATCATTGCTGACATGATCAAGTGTTTCTGGCCAAAATACCTCTGTAACCCTAATTCTTGGTAGGTCATGCATATAGTGGTGGTGGTGGTGATCTTATTTTATTGTTGACTCATCTGCTATTTTCACCATTGCTGGTCATGGCAAACCTTACCAATTATTTCTTGTTATTTCAGGCTAATGTGACCTCATTGGTAGCATTATGCGTACTATATTACTCATAGCTTGACCACCCTCTTAAAATATGACTTTGTCACAACGGGGTCTAATTGACAAAAACTCAAATTTTGTACATCTAGGTGAAACATTACTTTGTTGAAATTTTGTAGGAGACGCTATTGAGTCCTTTTTCACACCCATGCCACAGAACCATACCATATCAGCAAAATACACCCCTTTCAATACGCAAGCTAAATATAATACGTTTTCGAGTATCACCAGCTGCTGCCAAGCCCAAGTGTGACATCAAATTGAAATATGTACCAGTTCAACCACGGGTGCAAAGTATTGTGAGCTCTTGAGCAACCACAAACATGTGTGTTTAAAAGATGAGATCCAGTTGGGCGAAACCTCTTAAAAGAACACTTGCACTTTCAATTCCAGTAGTTGCTGGCCCTGGCACTTTTGTACTTGGTCCCTGATAATTCGTACAATTTTAGTGTAAGTTTGTGCCATAAAATGGAAAACAAATGCTTTCATTTATCTCACATATATAATTTGCAGCCAAGTGGACAGAAAAAAAAGTTTGTTTGTGTGTGTGTATGTGTGTGGAAGTATACATCCTGCATGTGGGTAATGTGGTTACATTGTGTCTAAAAATAGACTGGTTACTGATGACAAATATTGAGTGGTGGATGAAAGTGGTAACATTAGCATGTAAAACAGTGTTATAATACAACATTGAAAAAGTAACCTTAATAATGTCCCATAAAATAGATAAACATCTATTGTCCTGGAAACAGAAATGATTGTTTTTCATGTATTTATATTGAAAGCTGGTATGTATGTGGGCTATAAAACCTTTTCCTAAATGGATTATGTTAATAAAATGGATTACAGTCTCAAAAAGTGAACATGTAAACAATTGTACATCAATAAATATTTGCTGCTGGAAGGTGCAACTTTTTTAGCCATCTGTAAACAGAGAGAGTGAGAAAGAATAAGCATGTGTATTTCACTTTACACAGAATCTTTCCATAATAATCTAGTTCATCCCTTTACCAGCACTCTTTATTCTAACCAAAGCTATGAGAAACCATTTCTCATCATCGGTATAAATCATGCCGTCTATGATACAGTGAGCTGTGCAGTGATGCATCTAAAACTGTCCACAAGGAGGACCTGCGGCTTTGAGATTTCATTTAACATTATAACTATAACCAGAGCCGTTACGGCTCTGACTACAGCGTTTCACATCTACAACGTAACAAATAGAGGAACTACAGGAAGCCATGTTAGATGCTTGTTCAGCTCACGTTTATTTACATGTTCGCTCTGGTTTAATCATTTCAGACACGCCGACTAACTGCAAACAGGCGGCTCACAGATATATTTAGGATACGTCAGAAACCATAGTTTAACGGCTCATTACGACGTTAGCGCTCCTCCATTGATAAATACGGCATTAGAAATGCAATTAGCTCAAATTGGCTGATAATATCGGCCGGCCGATGAATTGGTCGTGCTCTATTATTTATTAAAGCTTTGTGTGTTCTCTGATGATTTGAGTTACAAATTGTGCGCGAGATAAGCTTTCTTAAATGTTTGAAGTGTTTAAGCAGATTTTACAAAATATAAAATGTGTTGCATGCAGCACAGATATCATGCTCTAATAGTCACAGATTTTAAAGGCAAAATGCTAATATTTATATTTTGCAGTAGTAAAAGAAAATATTTAAAATCACTGTCTCGTCTAATCAGTAACAACAGTAGCCTGAGAAATAGAGCATGTAGTTTTTGAGTAAGGACCTTTAAATTCATGACAGCCTTAAAAATCTAAGTAGTGATATCAAAATATCGCTCAGAATATAACCTTAAGCAAGTCATCAAGAAATCAGCAAAAATGTTTAAAATAAAATATTAAAATAACATAGAAACAAATATTCAGTGACGGTACCTTGGCCAACTCCTGTTTAATTACTCAAAGACAATACTGTATCTATGAATATTAATATGTTGTTTCTGTATGTACATGTCATGTGTCATATCATCATAATTACAGTGTATTACGTTTTGGGGATTTTTGTTTGGTTGGTGGCTGAGCAATCAAAGACAATCTTCTGTTGTCATCCATAAATGGGTAAAATAAAGTCACTGACTCAAGAAGGAAGTTCCTCAACACTCCCCAACACAGCCGTTCCTCAGCCTATATAACAACTGACTCCAGCACAGAAACACAAATCTCATTCAGCGAGGAAGCATGAGGTCTTGCAGTCTGTGCATCGTGCTAAGTTTGGCAGTAGCAGTTTACTGCGGGCCAGTATCACAAGTTGCTGTGCAAGATGAACGTTTTGCAGAGGTAAGTGTTTGCTTTGTCTTCTCATGCATTTAAGATGTGTTCAAGATGCGCTTTTGGAAACTTATTTATTATTCCACAAACCATAAACACCATAACTGACTACAAGGTATTATAATCTCATCTTCTTTTGCAGAGCTACCTGAAGAAATTCTTCAACCTAAAGGAGGAGACAGGTCCAACTGTCAGACAGCTAATCAGCCCAGTGAGCAATAAGCTTAGAGAGATGCAGCGATTCTTTGGTCTCAAGGTCACTGGGAGGCTGGATGCTGATACCTTAGAGATGATGAAGAAGCCCCGCTGTGGCGTTCCAGATGTCAACATTGCCAGGTTCTCCACTTTTGGAGAAAACCTCAAGTGGACTAAGAACAGCCTTACCTACAGGTGAATGATCTGAAGAGAGAAAGTGTGTGAAACAGTAATTGTAGGAAGTCTATCAAATAATGTTCTTGACTATTTTTCTGTCCTACAGGATAGAGAACTACACACCTGACATGCCAGTGTCAGAGGTCGATGACTCCATAGAGAAGGCACTGCAGGTTTGGGCCAAAGTCACTCCTCTGATATTCACAAGAATCTACAGTGGCACCGCGGACATCATGATCTCCTTTGGCCGCCAGGGTGAGTACAAAATAACTTTTCCTGTGTCTTGAATCTCATTGGAAAGCTAATTTCAGTCATTCAAATTAGGTTTACTGGCATTAATGTGTAACAACAATATTGCCAAAGCAACATACAAACTACATAAGATCAATCATCCCCATACATTTCATTAAACAAGTAATTAAAGCGTATGTGTGTTTGTGTTAGAAAAACGTAAATATATAAAAATTAAAGAAAAGTGTGTTGTGTGTGTTAAAAAAATAAAAATATATTAAAAATAAAATAAACAAATAAAACAGTAAGCGTATGTGTGATATATATTAAACATAATAAAAATAAATAGATAATACCGTAAACACGTGTGTGTGTGCGTGTGTGTGTGTGTGTGTGTGTGTGTGTGTGTGTGTGTGTGTGTGTGATAGACAAAAACATTTTTTTAAATAATAATTTATAAAAGAAATCAGTATCAAATGTAAAAACAAAACAATTACTAAAATATCAAGCAATCAAAATAATAATAATTTGTACAATTATTACTATTTGTCCTCACTTCATGGCATGAGGAGACATATTTTGCAGCAATTATTTCACATTTGGGCATTTCTCCCACTAAATAGAGGAGTTTCTGTGTGTCTGATATGAAGTCGAATTCGGGGTATATTTGGGAAATGTTTGCAAAGTTTTTTTTGTTTTATATTTAGGGCATGAGGTTAGAAAGTGCAGCTCTGTCTCTTCCTGTCCTGTGTCACACTGGGAGCAGAGTCTCTCCTCTTGTGGAAGCCATGTGTCTGTGGCGGCCCTTTTCTATGGCCAGACTGTGTTCACTCAGTCTGGATGTTGTCAATATCTTTCTTAGTTTAGGACATTTTATTGTGCTCCGGTACTTTGCCAATTAACCATAGCAAGACGTTATCTGAAAACCCAGTTCGGATGTGCTGTTTAATACATGAATTTGGTTAATAGCTTGTATCTGTAGTGTATTTGGTTTGCAAAGCTTGACGTGAATATGTTCTTGCTAACAGACCATGGTGATCGTTACCCCTTTGATGGTCCTGATGGCACTCTTGCCCATGCCTTCGCCCCAGGACCTGGAATTGGAGGAGATGCTCATTTTGATGAAGATGAAACGTTCACTTTCCGTTCAAACAATGGTGAGTTTGCTATTTATGCTCTGCGTGGGACATTGGTGGAAAGTAACTGCGTACATTTACTCCACTGTTCTTGATTTCCATTTTGTCCTACTTACATTTATTCATTTAGCTGACGCTTTTATCCAAAGCAACTTACAATTCAGCCTCTGGAGCAACTGGGGGTTAAGTGTCTTTCTCAGGGACACAATGGTGTATGGGTCACAGTGGGGAATTGAACCCAGGTCTCTCACACCAAAGGCATAGTCTTATCCATTGCACCATCGCCACCACTATACTTTAGAAATTACATTTTATTTTACTAATTTTTTTTTTTTTTTTTTTTTTTAGTTGTAACCATAGTCGCAGCTTGAAGTAAAATTTTTATTGAATTGGTTCTGAACCTTTCTGGCTTTACATGTGTTGCTGGGTTTCATGTTTCAGATGTGAGTTGTTGGCAATTATACCAAAGAGACATTTACCCCTAAACTTCTGATTTGGTTTCATTTAAATAACTGTTTAAATGATCTATACTATAAATATATTTCAGAAAAAAATCAAAGATCAGAGTAGAGTCCATAAATTATTACAAATTTGTGTAGCAGAACTTTGTTCTTTCTTTGGTCCTCTCCCATTCATCGTATCATGATAAATCATCAGATTAATCTTGTGACCATTAGTAGGGGGCTGACCCCTAGATTAGGAAACACTGGACTAAACTGCCTGTATAACTGTACAAAATTAGTAGGAATTGAATCTAGAAATTAAAAGTTTTAAAACCTAGTCAACAGTCAAATAACACTTCCATTCATCAGTATTAACAATCTATTATTGATGTATTCAATAACATCAGTCACAGTTGATATCTTTCTGCTGAAATAGTGATTTTCATAGTCTAGTTTTACTTTCCACCACTGGCATGGGAGGAAATGTTTAAAAATAACTCCATTGTGTGTATTTTGACATGAAAATGTAATCTAGAACAACTCTACCTGTACCTGTTTCTGCTGTAGGCTACATCCTCTTTGTGGTGGCTGCCCATGAGTTTGGCCACTCCCTGGGCTTGTCTCACTCTGATGATCCTGGTGCTCTCATGTACCCAATGTACTCACACAGAAACCCTGACACATTTGTTCTGCCCCAGGATGATGTCAACGGCATTCAGTCTCTCTATGGTCAGTACTAGCTAGCTGGATCATCCATGCCTGTTTATATAAATTTGTTGCAATGAGATGCTAACTTTATTTAACCTCCAGGTCAAAACCCTGACAAGGATCCTGTTAAGCCTGAACCTGAGCCCCCCACCACCCCTGATGCCTGTGATCCAACCATGGTCTTGGACGCTGTCACCACCCTGCGAGGAGAGATGCTCTTCTTCAAAGACAGGTATCAGACATACTGTATGATAGAATTCTAATGTTAATAATCCAAATTCTGATTAGCATTATGATTTCTCAAAATAAATGCCTGGCTTATGTACAAAATATTCTTGTGTGTACTTAGTTTCTTCTGGCGTAGTACAACAACAGAGCAAATTCCCATCAAAAACGTCTGGCCCAGTGCCCCCGTCAACATTGATGCTGCTTATGAAAGCCGACAATCAGACAGCGTCTTACTCTTCAAAGGTACTGTACTTGTTCTCTGTATCTACCTAAAGGTCCTGTTCTGACTACATTATTTACTTTTACATGTACATACTAAACAGTAATTTCTTTTCATCTCTACACAGATCAGAAAGTGTGGGCTTTCAGTGGCTATGATCCTGTACCTGGCTATCCTAAAAGTCTTACCAGTTTTGGACTGCCAGAAAATGTGAGGAAAATCGATGCAGCACTCTATGATGGGAATCTGGCAAGACTCTGTTCTTTGTAGGTAACAATTACTACAGGTGTGTTCAAAGTATAAATTTCTGATTTCAGTATGAGCTGCTCTTTACATTTCACCCTTCTTGAATGTATCTAATTACTGTCTGTTTCTTCAGTTATGATGAGGCCAAAAGGACTATGGACCAGGGATTCCCCAAGCGTGTGGATCAGACCTTCCCTGGCCTGACCATCAAGGTGACTGCAGCTTTCCAGGACAGAGGTGAGTAGCTTTAAAAGTTGATCTGAGTTTTCTAAGTCAAGTCTGATATGAGATATTCAGCCTTCTGACAAATGGATGAATGCTGAGAGTTACATGATGGTTATTACTCTAATGTCCATTGAACATGAAGCTACAACCAGGAGACATTTAGCTTAGCTTGGCATAAAACAGCCTTGAAATACAAGGAAACAGCTAGCCTGGCTCCATTAAAAGGTAACAAAACCACACCGGCTGGAAAGATCACGAATTATATCACTTTACGTTATGTTTAATCAGTGATAAAACCGAAGTGTAAAAAGAGCTAACTGCCTCCTGGCTCCAGCTTCGTATTTAGCATCATCTAACCTGGCATTCATTAAATATGTGTATTTACCAAAATGGTGAACCTTCCATTTAGCTAGCCATAGAAACTAACATTGAGCCTCTGTTCTGCAGGTTTTGCTTACATCTACAGTGGACCCTACATGTTTGAGTACCACCTGAGGACGAGGACGTTCTACCGTGTGCTGACGAACAGCTACTTCTTGCCCTGCAGTAACTTCTAGGCCAGTTTATTAGCTAGTTTGTTTATGTAGCCACCCTGAATGAATGTACACTAACAGTACATATTACATATTCATATTATTCAAAATGTTACATTTTAAACAGCATTTGAAGATTAATAAAATGTGAGAGGTCCCATAAACCAACTCTAAACACATAATAAACATTATGACAGGTTTGGGCTGGCCAAAACTAACAATAGAAAGGGAAGCAATCAGCTCACAAAGGGCAACAGGATCTGGAGTCTTCCCTCTACCCTAAACCAACCTTAAACTAAAACCAAGCAAACTGAAATAAAGCCATTGAAACAGGACTACCAGTCCCATAGGTGACGCTGGGGACATGTCCCCAACACTTTTTGAATTGGCTGATTTTGTCCCCACTACTTTTGTTAAAAACATTCTGCAATATAGCTTGCAGTTAAATAACAAAAGTGGAGGGAAGACATCATGCCTAAAATACATAAATCATGCCTACATATGTGCTGCCTCATCAGGGATGATATTACATGAGAAAAGTTGACCTACAGGAGAAACAGATCTGAAAACAACACAGAATGCCTGAGAGCTGCACTGACTTAGATTCTATTATATTTATATTTTGAAATGTAATGTGCTACCTGAATTTTGTGTTTCCTTTTACATAAATAAAAACATTTCCAACAAAGTGTGTCTTCACAGCTGTTATCTGAGCCCCTTTGTTCCCAGCACTTTTCAACACAAAGACAAAAACGCCCTTGACCAGACCCATCAGCAAACAAAAAATACAAACAAAATAAAACAAGATTCTTCATCACACAGGTCACAATGACCAACTGCTGCTGCCAAGGCTGGAAAGTGAACAAAAGAGACAGAGCAATGAGACATCATGAGTCACAATCATATGCACATCTTAACCAGCAGGGGGGAACATGTAACATCTGCACTTTGCAACATTGATGCTGTGTATGAAACTTTTCAGTCAACCTGGAATTCAGACATTTAAGAAGTTAAATCGGAGTTGCTTTTACTGTTCGGTACAGATTACGCCTCCGATTAGTGGTGAAACATCTGGAGGACATTTTTCAAGTCCACTGCATCTGAATTCTTACTACTGGTAATATTGAGTTCTTTACATTCATAATCTAATATTATAGATGACCTGGAAAGCTTTGCACTTCATCACTAAATACATCAAACTATAAAGAAATTCACCATTTGATATAATAAAGATCAGTAAAGATCTCATAGTGTCTTAGATAATTACAATTAATGGCAAAAACAAACCTTTGTCATGGCTCTCAGTGTCCTCCATCCTGGATGTATGATTTTATCCACGCATGCAAAACTGTGCCACAATTTAAACAATCTGGCACCATCAATTTACCAAATGTTTTTTTCAGTGAGACAATTTAATGGTTTCATTTTGTGAGTGAATTTCAATGTCTCGAGAGTGCACTGCTTTGCCATTATTGAAGTTCTTGCTTATAGTAAAGCAGAAAAAAATGCTTTCTCAACCAGTCTGATGCCGTTTTGGGTGACAAATAATACAGATACAGTAGTGCCCGTCATTCAAAGATGGGTCTATTTGTCTTCTAATCAACAGAGAGCACATTTATAGTGAGTGATTCATTTTCATTCAATTCAGTCTCAAATACTTTCAGACTGAATTGTTCCTGGCAATAATATTGATCTAAAAATTATGATATAACCACTGTTGTCCGTCAGCATCTAGTCAATGTATTTGTTACCCAGTTAACAGGTCTTGTTGTCTACTATGATGAGTGTTGACAGAATACGTCTTCCCACTCAAATGCCGCAAAGTGGTTTGGTCCACTGACTACGTTTTTTTAAACCCTCAGCTACATTATTTATTAAACAACAGGGAGGCAGAAAACACAGAAGGAGAACAGGGAGGTTGTCAGTTAATGTAGTCAGTGTGGATGTTAAAGTAAATACTAACTTCCCAGTCCAGAAGAGGGGGGAAGAAAAAGACAAAAAATGAGACTAAACTCTTTCTAGTTTTGTAGTTTAAGGCGTCCACTCAAAGAGAAACTTAATTTATTTTCTACAAGCCCCAAAAAGTTTGCGCAGAGCTCTAGGGTCAGCAACTCCAATAAAGAAATAGACAGAGAGGACCCAACCCTTTTCTCAAACAATCATTGGCTATCAGAACTTGATCACCACAATGATTGGTTTTTCCATTACTTTTCCTTTTATGGGTAGATATGGTCCTTCTATCCAGTAGTTGGAACACCTTTTTGCCGCAGTTCACAAATGTTTCTCTAAATATCCTAATAAACATCATGCAGGTCTCTATAACTGATGTTAGTATAATTTAAATGTTCAACACACAAAAGGCCAAATATAGTAGGCCACACTTCTCAAACAAAATAAAAGGAACATCCCTTCTCTTACATAATCTTAAATGCATGCACAAATAAAAAAAAACGAAAACAAACTAATTAATGCATCACTCTGAATGCAGAATTGTAATGAGACCAGGGGTTCCATTACCTGAAATAGTCAAGTAAGTATTAAGGTGGGGATAACTGATAAAGCAGGAGCCATACACATTGTTATTTTGATTGTTTATTTAATTTGTGAATCATTTGATAGCTGTCTTTGTGAGTGGTTCCACAGGGGGGGGGGGGGGGGGGTCTGGCCATCCTGCCTGTGTGGAAAGAAACCTCAATCAGGGATAGTCAAGGTTCACAATATAGTATTGACTGCTTTTACTCTATTTCAGTTAGTTGTTAAATTAGTTTAAACAAGAAGATGAACAATGTAAGTACTCACCTCTTCCTGGTTGTGTCTTCAGCAGGGGGCGGAGGCAAAGGAGTGTTGTAGGCCCAAGCACCTGCTTAAGAGCTGCAGGAGCAAACCATGAAGCTGAGAGGGGGGGAGTAAAGCCATCAATAATGCTGATTTATGTGATTATTTTGAGTATGCTTTATTGATTTACTGATAGAAATTTGTATTTATGTAAATATTCATTCTTTGGGCTCTATTTTTCTGTGGTGTTGGGTTTTTGGGTAAATTATTTATTATTCTAAATGATGGTGGTCCCACCTGAGTAGTTTTACCCACTTAATTACCTGCAGGAGGGAGTGTATAAAAGGCAGCAAGTTACCCCCAGTGGGGTTTTTTTGTTGCTTGTTGGTGTCGGTGTCTCCTCTTGTTGGTATGGAAGACAATAAATGCCACGTTTGTGCTTGCATTTTACCTCTGTCTCATGTCTCTCTCTGAAAAATGTAAAGCCACCGCCAGGCCATCGGACAAGTGGTGTCAGAAGTGTGGGCTTGGAAGAGCAGAGACAAGGCTAGGATGACAAGAGGTGGAAAAAAGAAACATTTAGATGAAATGGGAGATGATGAAGCAGGTGCTGCAGTGGACACAGGGCTTAAAAAAGGAGGCAGCCCGGAGGATAAACTGGATGAACTTGCAGGTCTGGTCAAATCATTAATACAGTCTCAAGCAGCAAGAGATCAGCAATGGAGAAGTATGCAACACCAGTTTCGGCAGATCCAACTCCAGGTGAATGAAATGAGAGATGAGCAACAGCAGGACCAAGACAACTTTGGAATGGATAATGACAGACAAAGTGACAGGGGTGAACCGGACGAGGGGCCTAGTATGGTGAGTCAACAGGCGGGGGTTTTGCCCAGGCGGGAACCATTAACACACAGAGATCCCAAATTGCTCCCGCTGACTTCAGAGGATGACATTGAAAACTTTCTGACTACGTTTGAGAGGATGGCTCAAGTTTGCCGTTGGCCCAGAGAGGAATGGGCTGTTCGACTGGTTCCTCTGCTCACAGGTAAAGCACGTAGTGCTTATGTGTTCATGGACATTGCTGATTCTGAAGTGTATGACAAGGTTAAAGATGCCATTCTTGTCAAGTATGAGATAACCGCTGACACCTATCGTAGAAGGTTTCGATCCCTGGACATTCATCAGAATGAGACTCCAAGAGAACTATATGTCCGCCTTAAAGATTTGTTTCACAAGTGGGTGAAACCAGAGAAATCCACTGTGAAGGACATTTCTGAACTGATTATCCTGGAGCAGTTTCTGAGGATGGTGAATCCGGATTTGGAGGTGTGGATACGGGAACGAGCTCCTAAGTCTGCAGAGGAGGCCGCAAGCCTAGCAGAAGTCTTCATGTCTGCCAGAACGGGGACCAGAAGAACCACCTTTGGTCGGGACGGTTTCTTGACTAGTCGAAGTAAGTCTGATGGGGGTGAAAGGGGTGGTGGTATAACTCAGAGTAAGCCCTCCCTTTTGTGTTCAGTTCCCAGGCCCACTTTCTCAGCCTCGGTGCATGAGCCAGTACGAACAGCACCTGTGCTAGTAAATGGTCAGCGTGAGGTAGCTCTCTTAGACACAGGAAGCTTTCAGTCTGTGGTTCTGTCTAGTTTAGTGCCGAGGGAGTTATGGAGTGATGCTAGGGCCAAGATAAGCTGGTGCATGGCGATGAGAAAGATTATCCCATGGCTGAGGTTTATTTGACTGTAGGTGGCCAGACATTTCTCTTGCCAGTGGCCTTAGCACCCAAACTACCCTATGCTGTCATTCTTGGCCTAGATGTTCCCACACTGCTAGATTTAGTACACAACGGAGAAGCTAAAAAACTGAACTTTGCAAATGATCTACAGGAGGCTGAGTCACCAGAAGTCGACTCATTCGGTCAGGCAAGTGACCGGCAGGCAAACCTAGGGCCTTTACTTCCAGTTTGTAATTTGGTGACTACTAGAGCTCAAAAGGCCAGGAACCCCCTTAAAGAGCTGCCATTTTTTGATGTGGAATTGGAGGCAGGCTCAGTTAAACCAACAAAGTCCAGAGCTCAGAGGAGAAGGGATAAGTTTTTGGGTTCAACCAGGCCAGAAGTTGAACAGCACATGAAGCCCGCTCAGTTTCTGGAGTTTGATGTGCCCTACGATATATCAGCACTGCAGCAGACTGAACCGACCTAGCCCTGGTTTGATAAAGTCTCAGAGGTTGAAGGGAAGAAGCAGGGAAGAACAGATGTTCTTGCAGAAGCAACCTATGCTGTGAGAGATGGTATTCTTTATCAGTGCAAAGGCAAGACTGAGGCCATTGCTTTGCCACAGGCTTTTAGGCAGAAAGTCATGGAACTTGGTCATTCAATCCCCTGGGCAGGCCACTTAGCGTTTTAAAAGTCTCTAAATAGAATCGCTAGGCGATTTGTGTGGCCAGGCATGGACACTCAAGTACAGCAGTTTTGTGCATCATGTCAGACATGTCAGTTGACCTCAAACAAAGTAGTGGCTCGTGCCCAGCTTCAGCCATTGCCTATAATAGACACACCATTTGAAAGAATAGGTATGGATATAGTGGGCCCTCTTGAGAGAAGTTCCTCTGGTAATCGTTACATTTTGGTAATTTGTGACTATGCCACGCGCTATCCAGAAGCTTTTCCCCTCAGATCAATTAAAGCCAGACATGTTGCCAATTGTCTACTGCAGTTATTTTCTAGAGTAGGCATAGCCAAAGAAGTATCTGACTGTGGGACTAATTTCTTGTCAAAACTACTGCGGGAGGTGTATCAGTTGTTAGGGATTAAA